AGAGAGAGAGGTAGAGAGAAAGAAAGAGAGAGAGAAAGGATAAGAAAATTAGTTCGAACCTAAGTCTGGTTTTGACTACGCGCCTGTCCGTGGCCATCAAGTTTGTAACAACTGCAGTCTTGTTGGTTTTTTGTTTGTTCTGTTTTTTGTTTTGTTTTTTGTTTGTTTTTTTGTTTATTGGTTGATTTAAAAAAAAAAAGAGTTTCAAAAGGCTCGTTTCATTGGTTGATTACCCCTCCCCTAAAAAAAACACACACAAAAATCCCCCAACAAATCAAAGTGTAGGCTACTTGCAGTGTAGGCTACTTGCCTCTTGTCTAGACAATGTCCATCCGTTGGCAGCGCCCATGTTGTCCTCCGGTGGGTGCAAAGTTCGAGCCCCGATGATTACTGACGTGGCCACGTCTTTCTGCAGGAGCCAGCACAGAGCGACCTGGGGCACGCTACGACCTGACGACACAACGGTAGGTTATGTGTCACTTGACAGCATAACTGACACACATAAATGCAGAGAGAGAGGGGGGAGAGAAATGAGAGCACAAGGGTAGGTATTGTAGGCCTATTACGTGATAGCGTAACTGACAGATAGTGAGGTCACGTGATAACATAAAACTGACGGATGGTGAGGTCACATGATGATGTAACTGACAGATAATGAAGTCACGTGATAATGTAACTAACAGATAGCGAGACCACGTGATAACATAAAACTGATGGATGGTGAGGTCACATGATGATGTAACTAGCGGATAGTGAGGTCACTTGTTTGTTTGTTTGAGTAAAGAGAAGCATATCGACACAATAGTTGTCATTTAGTATTGGGGAAAAGTAAGACTGACACACAAAATTAACAGAGGGAAAGTGAAGAAGTAGGATCTACGAGTGGCGCCCTCGAACCATCCGCGCAAGCATTGAGTCACGTGGCAACTTGCGAGTAACTGCTCTATCTGATACATGTAGTGATAGAGTCTAAACCAACAGGGCCCAAAAATACGCTGTAATAATATTATACGTCTAATTAGTCTAATAACAGGCTTAAACTACACTAGAAAACGTGGCTACATCATGGTGTCCGCTATGCTTTCTAATACCCAGAGCCCATCGGCACTATCGGTTCTGTTCGGTTTGGTAGGCGGGGCTAGCCAGTTTGAAGGCGAAAAGCGACCATTGTGACACTAACTGAACGAAGCCGGGGGTG